TTTTTCACACCACTGTATATATGAGCCACATTTAGTTCTTAAATAAAACGTTTGAAACTCTAAATGCAGTTTTTAACAGACAGCATCACTTTACAGAGATCCACCTGATACAAGTGTTCCTGAAGCAGAAGCAGTGACACTTTTATAAGGCCGAGCAGATCTGCTGCCTCCGTCTCTCTTGGTGTGGAGATCGTTAACTGAAAGTAATGGATGCTGTATGTGGCGTATATAGAGAGAAGGTTCGAGCTGAGTCACAATCCAACAGCTGATACAGATGCATTAATGTCTCAATCAGCCTGCAGCCCTAATAACAGACATAAACTAAAATTGTTTCATCATTCATCAACGTGAAAGGGAAAGAATTATCACCTGAATCTGCAGCTCCCTGCGGCTTTACTGACCTTTAAAACTTGTTTCAGCTCATTATTTGGATGTCTGGCCACAACTTTATTGTTCTGGTTCACTCTCATGTGTTATTTTTGGCTGCAGGCAGCTGTTTTTCAGCAAAACAAACCCCTAAAAACTCACTGTACACTACCTGTCCAGCACTAAACGTCACACAGACAACAGTAGAGACTAACTGGTGAACATAGTGGAGCATTTAAAGGGATGTTTCCCTTGGTGGAGTTGGTGGAGACCAAAATCAGAGCTGAAAGACAGTAAATAGTGGACTGTTGGGTTTTCAGGTGCTCTGTTGCACCTTAACAACACCCAACAGTGATGTCACAGGCTCCTGGAGTACACCTGTACATCACTGCAGCAAGAAGAGTAATTGAACCACTGGGGATAAAATAAGGTTTTCAGAGTTAAATTACTGTTTTTCTGGCCTGATGAAACAGACTCATAACATTCTGCCCCTTCTTCCAGTTGCAGAAAATGTTTTAAAAAAGGTTTTTACTTTTGTTCTTGAATTTCTCCCACAGGGGATCAATAAAGGAACATCTTATCTTATCTTATTTTTGTGAGTGAAGCCTTAAAAATATATTTCTTGAAAAAATTATACATTATACAAATTATCCAACATTTGTTTTGCTTTTAATTTTAATACTTTCTGGACTCAATTAACTGATTTTTAATTGATCAGTTTAATCTCTGGACCATCTGTTGACACATTAAATGTGATTAATAATGTAATGTGTTTGATTAAAGTGTACATTTTTATATTATCCTCATCATCTTCCTCCTCTTCCTCCTGCAGGGAGCGGTACCAGCTGCGCGAGGCTCGGAGGATCCGGGACCTGGATCGGGTCCTGCTGGGGTACCAGACGTACCCTCAGGCTCTGACCCTGGTGTTCGATGACCTGCCCGGCCCCGACCTGCTCTGCCACCTCACCATGGACCACTTTGCCGCCGGAGGGGAGGAGGCCACGTCCAGAGGGGGCGGAGCCAGCGGGGGCGCAGAGGGCGAGGTCCAGTGGTGCGTCTTCGTCCCGGGAGCCGACAGCAGAGAGCGGCTGATCTCGCTCCTCGCTCGCCAGTGGGAGGCGCTGTGCAGCCGGGAGCTTCCTGTCGAGCTCACCGGCTGATCGGTCGGTGAGGATGACGGACGGATGCGTGACTGTTCAGCACCTCGCTGGTCGTTGGGAGCTGAAGGAGGCGCCGAGGAGGGAACAAGATCATTTACACATGAATTCAGGGCACGATTGGCGGTTTCTATCCGCTCTGAGTGGTCACAGCGAGAGGACCGGAGGCGAGGAATCAACGACGCTCTCTTTCAGTCTCTCCTCGAGGGCGTTTACGGTGTTTAAAGTTGTGTGAAGAAAGACAACACCTTCACACACCTCGCCAGTCGCACAGCATGTGATGTGTTTGTGATTTGAGCAGCTGTCTGTGGAGATTTCTCTCAGTCAGCACGCCAGAGGAAACCAGTAGAGGAGTAAGAGGAGAAAATGGGGAGGGGTCTGTTCATATCGCGATGTGTTGTGACAAACACAAACACACGTCAGGTTAAACCTCATATGACTATTTGTAAGTGCGACTCAACGGACACCAGACTTTACAGACAGTGGGACGAGCCGAAATAATGGGAGTTTCTGGCACAACCTCACTTTCCTACCAAGTGTCTCACACGGAGCAGATTTACTTTATTTGGTGAATGACTTTATTGACAGACAGACAGACAGACAACAGACAGACA